AGAGAGAGAGAGACGAATGAAATGAAAGCAAAAAGTTTTGCTATGCTAGTTTTAAAAATTTAAACAATAGCCAGACCCCAAAGGGAATATGGGTCTTCTGTTCCCCAGAGTAAGGAGCAAAAAAAAAAAATAATAATAAACCAACAGAACACAGAAAACACAGAGCAAACAGCAACAAACTACGAGGAGCACAACAAGCATCAGCTACAAAATGGGAAAGTTTCGTTGAGAGGAGCGGAGAGGAGCGTGCCACATGGAGTCCTGTGAAATTTCTTGCCAGGCACTTTTCTACCCAACATCTGTGATGTAGTTTTCAAAGGGGATATTATTATTGTCCGTAGCAGCTGTCTCCAGCATTTAATTTTGCGTAGAGTACAATTAATGAGCTGACCAGCAGACAAGCTGCTTCTTTGTGGTCTGGTCCCTTTGAAGTGGTCTGGCAATTGTCCTCAAATTAACTTCAAGTACAGCATAATTCTGATGAATTTGTGTAACTACAAACACGATGATTGAAGAACAAATATCAGCAAAGATAGTATCAAAAGGTTGCTCAAAGGTTACCCGACTGAGGCCTCACCTTTACAATACATTTTGCACGTCATTAATCTTACGTTGCAACATCGTTTGGGTTCTTCCCCATTTTCCATTTCTGTTTCTCTGTTTGCTTTGACACTTTTGCTTTTGTTGATATTACAGAACGGGTGGGAGGCAAAACCCGACTGAGGGCCAAACTTTGGCCTCTCTCACTTTCATGTTTATGTTTGTTCTTCCCCCAGAAATGTTGCGAAATGTTGCAGCAAGGGGTTCACGGGCTGATAGCCATATTGCATGTCCTGGATGGGTGTTGGCAGCAAATCTTTGTCTCCGTGTGCCACATTCTCCGCTGTAAGTTTCCCTTTTGCAATTTATTACATTTTCTGCAATATTTTTGTGACCTGCTATCTAGCATTGAAGCCGGAAACACCCTGGATATTATGAATATGCTACTATATGACTTAAGCTTGCTCCTAATACAGTTTGAAGCCATTTAATTAAAAAACTCTATTGTTTTCCATTGTCTCACTCAGGGTCCAGCCATGGTCCATTTCCCTGATGAAAACTAACTTTTTTGGGTAGCTCAAAACATGAGGAAAAACAAAGCCCAGGCCAACATCGATTAGCCCAAGCAACACGTACTCCATTTTTATTGAATTGGACGCCGGAGAGTCCAGCAGCTACAGGCGAGCAAATGAAATGTCAGAAACGATTACCAAAGCAAACAAGCAAAGCCACAAAAGCAAAGGGAAATGAAGAGAACACAAAAAGGTAAAAGAAAGGCAACAAAATGAGAAAAAGAAAAACACAAAAGTGAATAAGAAGCTAAAATGTAAATCGACAGCAATCATAAGATTAGAATCGTGTCTCTAACTCGATGATCTTTGATCTCCACTGCTGAAAATGTGCACTGCTAATGGTAACAGATGGCTCTTCAAATAGCTAGGAGACAGTTCCTGAATAAGTGCCAATGTTATGGCCATTAGATCCATTCGGCCCATGTCAATTGCATCATTAATAATGGCCATGCGACAGATGCAACCTGACAGAGCCTGACAGAGTCCAGCAGCTGACAGTCCTCTTCACCACTGATGTCCGCTCATATATGAATGAATTCGAGGACGCCAGCTCCAGTGTATGTTTTGTGTGTTTTGAGTAATGGCTGGCATTTACGGCCAGAGATTTGCAGACAATACTCGGACTCCCAGGAAGGGGTGAAAGACTCGCACATGACCCACCCAGAAAGGAGTGAAAAATGTCAAAACTAACTTTCATTCAAGTGTTGAAGCATGGACGTGTTTTGCATTTCAAAGTAGCCACAAAATACAATGCCCTCAAGTATGTCATTTGACCACTTTTTGCTCTTATTTCAGCATCGCTTCGACTGGATGACTTGGATGCCTTTTATTTATTGTAGAAATTACCCAAAGGCCACAGTTTTAAAGAGGAATATAATAGTCCAAGAAGACTCTTATAATATTTAACATTATCTGAAAAATAATAACAGACGATCCAGAGCCGCACGGATAAGTGACAAAAAGTAACACAACAAAAATATATGCAGAGCTGGAGGAATCTTTATGGCTTCAAGAGATTTGCATATGAAAGGCCCAACGCATATACCGAGAGCGGAGAAGATATTGCCAGAAGGCAGCAACAGGAGAGGCCTTAGTGTGCTAAGCCAGGCCACACAGAGCAATCGCTGCAGGACGCCATAAAATATGTAAATTACGGAGCAGTCAATGCTGGGGGAAACTAAGGTGCCGCAATCTATGTATGTAAACTGTTTTCATCGTGTACGATGTGTGGGCAGGGACCCTACACACAGTGCCAAGACAGAAAATAGGGAAAGCCCATAAATTTCCCAGCCAAGAACGTCAAAATTATAATTTACTTCCGCAGCAAACAGCAAGAAAAATATTATGCAGACAACAACAAAGAATACAAAATAAAAACCGCATTCCTCAACCACTGATTGTTATTGTTTTTTGTGGTTTAGCAAAATTCAAATTTCATTACGAGCCAAAGGAAGAATTTGAATTTCGTTGAAGGCGGGCAGGGTGCAGGAGGGGCTGGGTGCATAAGGACAATCAAATATACGACAAGCAAATGATATGCATGAGTTTTCTTTGGCATTTCGAAACAAGTTTTGCCACCTCGCCGTCGGCACTTGGCACTCAAAAAAAGTTGTGCTTAGATTTTAGAACTTTGCTGTAAAACCCGGGACATAAAGCTATTAACTTGATGAAGTTGTCTTTTGGAAAACAAATTGTCTTTTTGTAAGAATTTGGTTGCCTTTACTTAACTTTAATTCGAAATTGTAGCAACAATTTAAAGCCAAGTTTCCTTCCTTAAATCCTATATTTACGGGACATTGAAGACATCGAATCATCCTCCCAACTGTTGAATCTGTCAGCTTTTCTGTCACTTATCTTCACAAAACAGTTCAAATGCTCCTCAAACTCCTCAAACAATCCATTTTGATATGAGCGTGTGACAGTTCCGAAAGGATTTCATATTCAATCCGACACCGATCAATGGATGTCAATTTTCCACCTGAGCAGCGTAAAGAAAGGTGAAAACATGAAAATCCAATTGCTGTCGAAGAAACAAACTCAAAACATTCGACATGGAAATCCTTTTTAACGTAGACTAACAACGTAGACTTTTGCCAGTGGGAGAGTGAAAAAGCCCTGGAAAATTGTTTTTCCATTGTTTTTTTTCGCCGTATGTTCAAATGTTAAGAGGTTTCTTCGTCTAGTCAGAATATAATCCCTAGAAGGAGATGTTTTTTTTTATGTGGGAGTAGAGCTGAATGGCTAAAGGTTTTTTGTGGTTTTTCATTTAGGGAATCGGTTCGATAATTGTGGAGATTGTTCAACAAATCAAATGGCATCCAATAGCCGTATTATCCGCCAGCATAATTATTTGAGTTACTTATCCAACATCTGGCATCGCAGATAAGTCAAAGCAAATGATAATTTTCTCAATTTCAACTCCGCCAGACGGATGACACACAAACACAGCATGGAAAGCATAAATTTCAAAGCGTTGCATTACAGACAGACAGAATGACAACATGACAGACTGAAGCAATGACAGTTGCATGGAGCTACAAACGATTCATGCATTCCTTCGTGCTGTCTTGACACTGAGAAATGGTTCCTTGGATGTGGGTTGCAGGCTCCTTTCCTACGCTTCGTGAACAGGCAACATCATCATTATGGATAGAGACAGCAGCTGGTCCCCCAAGCAGAATTCCAGACATTTCTAGAGACCCAACACCTACACCTCGCCCACTCCCTGCCACATGTTCAGCTGAAAAAGTGGCAAACTATAGCGCGTATCCCTTTCGCACCTCGGGTTCTGTTTCCTCGCTGTTAATCCTGATGCGAGCCAAAGGTGTGGCTTTGATTCTGTTGCAACTATCACCATTTACTTGACATCTCGCTGTGTAATGTTTCAAATCGGAATCCTGCGGACTGCTGCTGATTGCCAGGGGCATCTAGATGTCAGCAATATATCAATTAAATGAGAAATACCTTGAGTATGCAGTCTGTATGCCACTCCCGGCACTGCCACACTCTGCTGTGGCTTGCAAAAATATTTGTTGTTAACCTTACTAACGATATACAAACAGATCTGACAGCCTGAACCTATTGACAGCATGACAGCAATTGAATCTTATGCAAATTTGTGCCGAAATGAAAACAAAATCTCTGTCTTTTTTCCGAAAACAAACTGTGAAAGCGAGATAGAGGGAAGAGCAATGCTCTGCGACCATCAAAATAACACACACAAAATGTGCCAATGTTGTCTGGCTGCTGTCATTTCAGTTCAACATTTCAGCAAATTGGCTTTATATGACAGCCAAATGTGTGTGTAATTATTCCTGTCGTCTGTCGAAATGGATGGGGCGGGGTATCTTCGGTCATTCTGTACCCCCAACAATTATTATGATGGTGGATTAAAGCCTCACACACACACTAATACTTTTGGGTCACGCGTGTGTACTAAAAGTGGACTTGGGGTTCACTTTAGCTACGTGACTGTTGGTAATTTTCATTCACACTGCGTATACGTAATACAAAATTGTCCTGATGCACCACTAACGCACGACATTTGCGAGTGGTTTTGGGTTCCTTTTGGGCCCCACAATACAGGTTCCACATGGGATTTGCTCTGTCTACCGTTTCATCGCATTTAGCCATATTATTATGGCAGCCCCCCAACGTTTAGCTGCTAACACAATGTTGCCAGGTTACAGGTTCTTTTGTTGTTGTTGTTTCCCCACTGTTTTTCTCTGTTTTCTCTTCTTTTATTGTTTTATGTGTATTGTTTATTACCCTTTTATTGTTATTTCTGGTACATACTTTTGCCTCCATGAAATTATGTATAAAAGGCAAATATTCAGCAAAGTTCGAAATATAATTTGTGGTAAAATTTAATAATATTTTGCTACTTACTTTAAATTTTTGTTTATTCCAATGAAATTCTATAATTGATTAGAATTCGGTGATCTTTGTGGCAGCAGTTCGTTACTTTGATTATTATTATACATTTTTCGTAGTTTTTGGTTTAGGGTTTCAATTAATTCATACAGTAAACAGTTCACATCACACGAATTTGAATGGGAATATAAAAAATAATTTAAATAAAAGAGCCACTCGACTATTCATTTATTCCACCAGCGTTTATTACTCGCATGTTCACTGCGAAGCGGGTCGATTTTGGTTGTGTATTAAAATAAAGCACACGTGAGTAATTGTGGGTGAAAGGCCTTTGGCGTGTCGCTTCTGGGCTAGTGAAAAGGTCGGTAACAAATAAAGGCCGCAAAGAGTGTGAATGAATGGGTACGAGTACGAGTATATATGTACGTGAATGACTGTATGTAAAGGTATTGTATGTAGGTTAACAGGGAATACAATTGATCTATTTATTTACTTTCGCTTTTCTGCTATTTCCATGCACTGTTTTATTGTTTTATTTTGCTGCTCTTTACGTAGTTCTGCCACGTGGCGTAATGTTCTGTGACGTACCGTGCCACTCCGTTGCGTTGCTCATGAAAGCCGCATAATGACTGAAGTCTCGTCGGACCGTCGACAGAGACTGTGGAAGTGGCAGCGGCAGCGGCAGCTCTGCCAACTTCGACGCACGCATTCAGAGTCTGCGCAGGAAAAGCCGTGAAAATGAAAACAAATTTAACACGCAAATGGTGTCAGATGGTCTTAAAGCGGGTTCCAAAGTTTTCTTGGGTCGTATAACAATTTATAGTTCCTACCTGAAAGTAAAGAAAAATATGATTTAATTTATAATAATTTTACTTATACTTTGCATAATTTAAGGCATAATAAATATTTATCTATTTCTGCTAACATCAAAGCCAACTAATTTCTGCAACAAAGGCAACTTTTGATTACACCTCGGAACTTAATTGAGTGCAGAGTTTTTATTTGTACTTTTTCGTGCATTGTTTGCTTTTGATTATGTGTGTTTCTGTGCTTTCATTATCCTATTTTTAACTTTTGCTGTTTACATTGTCGAACAGCATTCATGTGCTGTAGCTGGATCACTGTACCCGAACAGCTACAAGCCAAAGTAATCACATTAAAAATCGGGGAAAATCTTTGTGAATTACGCAAAATAATTAATGTGATTCTGCATTAAATTTGCCACAACTGCTGCCTTTTTATAATTTTTGTAATTAACAGCAAGCAATGCGAATATTTTCGTAAAAGTATGGCACCTTTTCAGTTATATTTAGATGAATGATTGCAACCTTCAAACAGAAAACATTTTAGACTCCACTCAAAATAAACCCAAAGTCAGAAATGTAAGAATTCGAAGGCTTCTTCCCCACCGTTCATTCACCTTTGTGGGTAAATGTAACTCGCAAGCATCAATGTAAAGCTCGTGTTTCCACCTCATTGCTTTGCCTGACTGTTGCTCCTCAGGTGAGAAATCACCTTCATTCATCAGTGTCAGATTGAATATAAAAACCTTTTCTGGTCAGCCGACAGCAGAAATTATGTTTCCTGCATCTGCTCTAAATAAATAATTGAACTGTGACAGGAAGGTTGAGATTTCTTGTAATTGGTTATACCCTTAGCTTTTGGTATTGTGGATTAAAAGTATCTGTGGGGGTGCCATGTTAATGCTCTTCTTATCGATCACTTTTTAAGGTTGAGGCATTTCATTTCTTACACCTGCAGTCAGTTGATTGCCAAGTCTACAAATGCTTTTCTACAGAATTTAATTTGCATACCTAATGCAGCCTTTAAGCTATCCTTTAACACACATTCCGAGTCTGTTACGAAAGTCTGTGTACACCTTACATTGAAATACTTTTAAGTGTATCCCTCTTAGAAGCTTTTCAGCTTCGTTTATTTATATGCAAAGCACACGACAGCCAGCCAGGATTTTTCAGGCATATCCCTTCTATTATTATCGTCGCCTGCTGAATTATTCAGCTACCGCCTCCCGTTCCGTTCTATTTCCGAGTGGTAAACGATATTTTAAATATTAAAATGGTTCGACGTTATGCGGCTTCAACTATTTGTACTAGCTGCCAGCTGGCACGAATCCATTTTTTCGTTCCTTTTTCCATTCATCCATTTCCGCCACAATTACAGCTACATTGTGTGGTGGTGGTGGCCCTTTGCCAGATGTTGCCACAATCATGAAGCGTAATAAAAGTCCACAGCCAGTATGTACTTGGGTCCATCCTTGGCATAATGAGACATAACAAAGGTTCCCATTTTTTTGTGTGGCAAAGATACGCCTTATTGGCTGCTAACAGGACAATTGCTGGAGGACATTCGCAGACACTTACTTTGGCATGCCAGACAGCCAAAAAGTGGCACAATCTTACAGCAAACTGTGTACCAGTTGCGCAGTCATCTGGTTTGTATTGATTACACAATGCAGACGATAGACAGATCCTGCACAAGGTTAACAGACATGAATTGTAATATTTTTTTAATGTTTTATTGCTAAGAGAAATCCTAAGCAAAGATTTCTATATTTAAAGGCATGCAGACTTCCTCTGGCAGGGAAATATTTGTTTTAATTTGATTCAATGACTCAACGGAAGACCATTTCCAATCCATTTTTGCTTTAATTATCTGCATTCTTTCTGTATCTTTTCATGATTTTAATGACTGGTACTGTCTTTGTTTATTTCGCCCACTTCTACATAGTTCCAGAGTATTTCCTTTCCCTCTTTCGAGCATTTCCAGTTTGCTTACACATAAAAGTATAAACATTTAGGGGCAAGAGTTCTTGGGAAAAACATCTACAGACCGCGGGAAGTGCTTGAATTAGCCACTCTTAGTTCTACAAATCATTTATGGATCATATATAACACTAAACGTAGCCATTAAAGCAGACCATCTCTCAAGCAATTTCATTATAAATGGTAAATAGCAAATTAATAAGAAAAAACATCTGGCAAAAATGTTCTAGATGCTGCAGAGCATCTGTAGAAAGTACCTTAACTGCGCCTTATGGGAAAGCTTTTGCTTAAATTTGAGTTATTAATCCCCAAAGGCTAAGGAATAATTGGTTTATTTTCTGCAGCAACATAGAAAAGTCTCGAGAAACAGCAAGAGTCGTGAAGCTCTTACTCTGTTTGCTATTTTCTATCCAATATAAATTCAAATGAAAGTCTTACAGTTCTGCTTTATGGCTGAAATTTTATCAAACGTGGCTCTCAACTATCCCTAGTCAGCAAAATGCTATTGCCAGAAAAGTAAAACTTGCTCCTGGTGTGTGCACTGGACAGCTGATGCCACACAGTTCGCAATGACCAGCACAGCATTTTGTTGTTTTCATTTTAACGATGGCTTATGCAAAACGGCAACCAGGCAACACATGTCCACACCGGTCGGGGTTTACTGACCAGCAGCAGGAGCAGCTAACATAACTTTTATAGAGGGCCAATCATCAGTTGCTGCTGCTGCTGCTGCTGCATGCATGTCGTAATGTTGCTTTTCATTAAAACCATTATCCTTTGCTGCATGTCACGCAGCGTCACGCAAAAATTAAATGAAAATTCCCTTTTGGCAGCCACAGAGGGAAATTATAATTTTATGCAATTTATTAATTAGTAGCATTGTCGATGATGTGCTGCAAATATGTCCACGTTGGCAGAATAAACAGAATGCACGAGATGTGGGTTGCTCTGAACGGTGTAATATGTACATAAATAACTTTATAAATAAGCCACAGAGAGGAGAGAAAATTAAAGGACCACTGAGAGCACATAACAGACATCTATGGGTTATTTTTGCTGGGATTTTTTAAGTGCACTTTGATGATAAATCGTTGCCTAAATGCAGGAAAATCTTGGCATGCATTTATCCCTATTTTCTGGTTGTTCTTCTGGCTTTACTTCCGCTGAAAAATGAGAAATATTTGATGCACTGCAGACAGGCAGCACAAATGTCTAGTTGGTCGCCAGCCAGCAACCAAGAAGCAGCTGTCAACATCGAATATTCCAAAAAATCAGTTTAATTTGCCACGGCATTACCCACACTCAAATTTCTCAATCCTTTCCCTTGTGCCATCCGACGTACGTGTGACGAAAAACATAACAAGATGAGCCCCACTCAGCCGCAAAGCAGCCCCAGCTCTAATCTCTAAACAACACTTTTCGCATAAGCTTCAGCTGCCAGGAAACTTGTGTAAAGGATTTCCACAACTGCCAGGAAGCTGGCAGCCCACAACAGTCTGTTCGCTGCTCTTCCGTTGTGTCTGCCTCGCTCAGGTGACAAGCAGCGGCAAACTTTGTTTCAACAGCCACACATCTGGCTAAACACGACCGACGAAAAAGGCGCAGCAAACATTTGGGTGTCGGCCTGCCCTAATCTGGGGCATTAAACACCTGCTTATTATTTTCAAAGAGTTGAAAATGTGTAATGTTAATGTATATGTTTATATCCCACAGTAGATACACTGGAGATAGGGAAAATTACAGTGAATTTATAAATATTTATGAAGCTCATTTCGAATGTCTCTAAATTCATTTATTTTCCCATGTAGAAAATGCATATGTGTACCTCTGTTGTAGACGCAAAAACCTTATAGGGAACACTCTTTTTATTACCACAGACTGGAGCAATGCCCGTAATTCCAGCTGACCGAATCCAAAGAGGGAGAGGAGTTAGTACCAGAGAAATGCTTCAACAATTATTAAAATGGTTTTTATTACATACAAGCAGCACACACACACAGAGTGAGAGAGAGAGAGAGAGACGAGGGATTTTCATATATAACATGCACACAAAGAAATGAGGGTTGAATACGTGACTGTTGGTAATTTGTCTGTGTGCACACTGCGTATACGTAATGTGGAGCATCCAAACGGCAGTCGGGAATTTTGAAACTGCCTTGGCCTCATGGAGGGTCTCCTCCAGGTACCAGGCGCAGTCCCTCCCCTCTCATTGTCGATTCATATATGCTAATGTTGGCTGCCTTTTGCCTTGTGGCCTTCTTTTTATTCTTTATTATGCTTTTAATTATTTCTTTCTCGTTCTGTGCTTTTATGCACATT